CGTCGAATCTGAATCACTTGAAAAAAACACGGGGGTGCTTAACTTTTTTCCAGGTGTATAGATTCATGTTCAGATGATAAGATTATATTTTGTAACATTTGTTACAACTGGTGCCCAAGGAACTCCTTCAAAATATATTGAATTGAATGAACATGATATCTTTGATATCTTACAAACAGAGATGTATAGTTGTTAATGCAATATACATTTTGCATCAATCAGTACTTTGTTTCATTTTTTCATATTTTTTTCTCTTAGGGCTTAAATGACTACCTGGAGAAAAAACGCTTGTATTTTCCAAGGTTTTTCTTCTTATCTAATGATGAACTTCTAGAAATCTTGTCAGAAACAAAAGATCCAAAAAGGTGAGTTTGCAAGAAAAGTATTCCATTCCCAGTTTATAAATAGTGTAAGCCAGAATAATATTTTCATTTATATTATGATGGTTTATGTTAAGGATTAGCTAAATTTCTCATTATATTAACTACATTCACTTTTTTTAAAATTACTTATTTTATTTGCAACACATTAATTTTGTTGTAACTTGTTTTAGAATAAATTGGCAAATACAATTAGATTTGATGCATATATATTAAAATAAATGTGCAGTATGTACTTAAAATAGACTGATTGGTTCGCTTTATGAGAATCTCTTTTATTTATAGAACTCTCCATTTATTTTCTTATGGGAAAACACACTGGTCAGTAAATGTACCTACTAGGTGGTTGTGTAATGGCTATGTTGTGGTTAATCTGCAACGCAATGGGTAACAATCTCTCTGACTTTCAAAGGGGAATGATTAGTGCTTGTCTCACTGAAGTATCATTATTAATTGCTTTTTTTTTCACCAAATGTTCAGTTACATTTGTCATCAGAATCTATGAACAGTGGCAGTTGAGGGTATACACATGTCACTAGAAACAATTATACCCACAACTGCAAGCAATGTTTTGAGGGATAAGACAATTGAACAGGTTTTTAAAGTGCAATTGTCATCAGATATATCACAATTAACTTTTTCTATCAACATTAGTCAAAATTCAACAATATTCAACTGTACTGTGCAAAGAACACTGTTAAAACTGTCATATGGCAGCTGAAAACCAGTTTGAAAATTACTTATCTCAGATTGCAAACATTAAGCTTCAGTGGAACCTATAGTGTATATTGTAGACAGTAAATCACTGGAAACATTTGATGTGATATGATAAACCACATTCTTCACTCTTTTGATGATCCAACAGACTTTGTTGTTTCCAAAAATGTAAGCTGCTTGAGGTGGTATAATGGTGTGGAAAATATTCTTAATTCAGGGGTTGGATCCTTGGATTCCTTTAGAAATGCAAAAACGTGCAGACTGGACCAGAATGTTGTTATCGATTTTGCCCACCCCCACAATGTTGAACTATTATTATTAAAATTAAAAATGTGTACACAGTTTCCTGACATCTTATTGTATTTACATCTGTGACTGTTTTGTAAACACAAGACTGTGTTTGAATTTATAGTAGGAGCATTTTTGAATTGACCATTTATTTATCTTATCCTTACAAAAGTTAAACAAGTATGTCTCATATCAAAACCATATTTGTATTTAGTGGCTTTAAAACTTGTAAATTTCCCACCGAAAATATTATAAGCATTGCATGTATCTTGATTTGTTGACTATTACACCGATTCACTGTTTCTGATTTATAAAGTAAAGAAAAAAAGCTTTTCAAAAAGGAAGTAAATGTGATCATAAGTTCAACCTTTGTTTGCTCATTAAGCATACAGTTAATTAGTTAGCAGTATTATTCAATCACACATGCACGTACTATTACTATTCAACACAACAATACACCACTCACTATACAAAAGCCAATCAGCTGTTAGAGTTGCTCTCTGCACTATACATGGGCATATTAATTTTTCTTAGTATGTAAGGCCAAAAGATATACTGTTCTTTATACTTGGGTATTTACAGTATATATAAATACATATGTAATTTGATGTAACAATCTTTGCATACTGAAATATCCACAAGTAAAGAAATAACTTTTCAAAAAATGGAAGTAAATGTAGGGATGATTAATATCAATCCTTCAAAAACAATGCAAACAAGATGGTAGGGATGGCATTTGCATCATCCTTACATAATAGCACAGGCACACAATGTAGTCGATTGTTAACAGACAAAGATAGGATAAATGAAACTCAGTTGTGATGGAATCGGTATACATGTTGCTATATGTTAATCCTAGCCTCTGCTATTATGTAGTGATGATGCAAATTCCATCCCTACTATCTTGTTTGCATTGTTTTGAAGGATTGACATTTGTCATACCAACATTTACTTCCTTTTTTGAAATGTTTTTCTTGAGTTGTTTGCTTGTTTTTTTAATGCAGTGTTTCATTAGACATAGGAAGGTTGTACTTATAACCAAGTTCTAAATATAAAGAGGTTCCAACTTCAATATCTATTGATTATGTATTATTGGCTGGTAATTCCTGTTTCACCTTTACGTAAGTTTTTGGAGGATCACCAAATCTCTATAAGAAAGCTAACTTCCAGGGGTAATGATAACATCGTTTACACTACAATCATGATTTGTTTTTTTAAATACCACTAGTAAATAATACTTGTAAAAGTGAATACTCCACTTGACACTATGTCACCTCAGTGAATTTGGTTGATACTATTGTTTTGGGATTAGAGTTATCATGTAATAAAAAAGAACAACAACAAATTCAAACTTTTTGCTATGATATTTACAGATATTCCCAGAACTTGACTTAGTCATTACATATATATTCTTATAAAAGGAAGCACTGTATAGTATTGCAAAGTTCTGATGACTTATTGAGGAGATATTTAAAATTCGAAATCGATGAACAATTTGAGCCATTCCTACATAGGCCGTGCTATCGCCTGCCTGATAAATATAAACTTTTTTTCCACATAAATGTGAAGATGTAACACACAGCAAACTTCATTTATAATATTTTAGAGTTCAGCCTCACCTGAAGAAGTGCTTTGAAGGGATTGCAGAACTTCACTTCACAGATTATCTAGATGTAACTCATATGAAGAGCAGTGAGGGTGAGGAGATAGAGTTGACAGAAGCAATATCTACCTCTCGTGCTAGAGGACAGGTAGAGAAATGGCTTTTAGAGCTAGAGGGGATTATGAAAGATAGCATTCACAAAGTACGTTCCTTTAGGTTTTGTGCTTACATAAGAATGTGCAAAATCATGCATCTATTAGTGTTACCTGTGCAAAGAAAAATAATTTTTTTTCATGGTTATCTTGGTATTATGTGTATAAGTAAGAAGAGTATAGAAATTATGTTGTTGTTTCTGCATTATGTATGTAAATTTTTCAATTAGAAGAATGTATAAGATATGGGGTATTATTATATCAATAAGGCAAAAGTGTATTTAAGTAACATGTTTTGGATTACATTTGTAGTTAACAAATGCATATGTGTAGTGCTATTTATATGTATGTAAGAAAGAATCTAATATATATATATATATGTATAATGTTGTGCATTTATTTCATATATAAGTAAAAGAATATACAAATCGTTGTCTCTCTTTATATTATAAATTTATCTGAAAAGAATTTGTTTCAGCACACTACAATCAGTATATAAGCTGATATTTTTGGTACCATAATGAAGCAAGAGGAGTGTATATCCCTTGCTACGTGTGTGTGTGTGTGTGTTTTGTATGTGCAAGAAAGAAGAACATTTAAGTAATTGAGGATTTATATTCTGTGTGTAAGAAGATGTATCATGTGTCTTTGTACTGGAGGTAAGAAGAGTGTATTTGTCATGTTGTATCTCATTATTCTGTGTATAAGTTGTAAGGGTACATAGCTCAACGTTTTTGTATAAACAGAAAGATTATATCAATATTATATTTTTATTTTGGCAAAGTAGATATTAGAAATTATTTTTTTTGCATTATATTTGTGTGTAAGAAGAATGCATTAGTCATGTTTTGTGTGTATATATCCAAGTGTATTTTTGTATTATCTTTATAAAGAAGTCATGTTTTTTAGGTTGTTTTCTTTTTATAGGATATAAATACCATGTATGGAAAGTAAATAGGTTATGTATTTTACTAGAGGGTAAAAGTACAAAAGATTGTATTTGCACTTATTTTATTATACATGTAAGCGAAATTATTTAAATCACTGGTTGAGAGTTTTGAACTAATTTTTGTAAGTAGGAAGAATGCATGTAAGTCATGGTGTTTTTCAGGACATTATAATTAAGAAAAATGTGTAAGTCGTGGCTAATTTTAAATTTGTAATTCTTACTGAATATTTTTGTTTAATGTATTAATTTTTCATAAAACATTCTGCATTTGTTAAGATAGCAGAAACTGAAATTTACATGTTGCTCAAAACATGCCTTGTGCACACGTTAAAAAAATACTATGCCCTTCATGATTTGATAGGTGATATCTAAGTCTATTGGATCATATTGTGAATCTCCTCGTCAGTCTTGGGTAATGAACTGGCCAGGACAAGCTATTCTCTGTGTTTCTCAGACATATTGGACAGCAGACATTCATCAGGCAATAAAGAATGGACAAGTAGTATGTTGTTGATTTTACATTTTAAGTTTCACTAAAATGATACTCTTAAATGTAACATCTGTTGAAATATATTGTTATTCCTTAAAGCATGTAGTTTGCAGTTTGAATAAGTTTTAATAAAGTTTTAAGATATATCATTTTTATAGTAATTTAATTTTTTTTTATTGAATACCATTTCAGGCTTTGGATGAATACTTGGAACAAAACAATAGACAGATAGAGAAAGTTGTGACCTTAGTGAGAGGAAATCTTCCTAAACAGACACGGACCACCCTTGGAGCTCTAGTTGTATTGGATGTGCATGCTCGGGATGTGTTGGCTACTCTAATAGAAAACAAAGTGTCATCTGAGAATGACTTTACATGGTTGAGTCAACTTAGATATTATTGGCAGGTTAGAGAATTTCACTAATAATGCTATAAGAAATATAAATGAACAGATTATAGCTTGAAGTGAAGTGGTGTTGTCCAGTTTTCATAATGTCAGTTTAATATTTCTTATGTAAATGTATTTTTAAATTTGATATTACCACCAACCAAAGAACAGTTGAGATACTTAACTTTATTGTTACTAAGAGTTAAAGAATACATGAGATATTCACCTTGACAGGTAAAGAATGCTTCAGATACTTGACCTTAGTACTACCAACAGGTGAAGAACACTTCAGATACTCAGTTGTAGTAACAGATTAGGTTCAAGGCTGGGCCAGCATAGAACATTTGTAATTATAAGAACCAGGGAAAACTGTAGCTGATTTAGTCATAAAACCTCATAAGCCAAACTTGACAAGATATATTTCTGATACAATACCTTACCTCCTCTCACTTAATAGCTTTCCTCGATTTGTGCTGCTCTCTATATGCAAATGTTTTCACTCGCCACTAGCCTTTAGGCTCCCACCTAAATTCACATGTTTCCATGTGGTGTTGCTGTACCTTAGAAACCTTTTCAATGTGATATTGTTATAGGGTTAGTTTTGTTGATAGAATTTCAGGTATGAAAATAACCATTATTGATGTTCATCTGGTACCTAACTTCCATTAAATATATACTTTCATCTGACAATGAAAGCTAGTGATGTATAATTTACTCTAATAGTAGTACAGTATTGAAGTCAAATCACTCCTATGTTGAAACGACTCTTAGGAACCAGCACTGAACTCCAGCTTTATTGGCATGAGCAAATAAGAGTGGTGATACATTCCACCTGGACAGGATGCCAGTTTACCACAGTTTAACCTCTTAGCTAATAACTGGTACCCATCATACACCTTGAGACACTGAAACAATCAGGATAAAGTGTCTTGCTCAAGAACATGACAACTATGAGACAAAAGCACAAAGTCACTGAGCTTACTGCTCCCTAGTACTTATAATGGAAACCTTTTCATTAGAGCCGGATCGTGCCTCTTGGTTGCCTGTGTGCAGATTCAGGTTCACTGCCCCCTTTTGCACCCCTGCACCCACACACACAGATACATCTATATGTAATGTTATGAGTTTGGTTTGTATGTGGATTTCCAATTTAAATTCCAATCAAATCATATACAGATAATATTAATTGAAAAAATAAAAACATCATACTATGATCTAATAGTAAAGCAGACCAGTAGTAATAATATCAACTTTTATTAGATTATACAAACACTTATTACACAAGCCAACACTTGTAAAACTAAATTATAACTGTTTAATATAAAATATTCATATACACATAAAAAACATTATATTAAAATCTAAGAGAAAAGGAGATGAACACTAATATTATTGAATCTTATGTTAATATACATACATTTAGTTTTATTAGTTCACAGGCCATGCACCACTTTAAGCTTAAAAAAACAACAAATCAATAACTGCATAATGTGATACACCTTAATTTGTAATATAAATTATTACAATACAATAAACAAGTAAAACTTGGATAATCTTTATATAATGTTGGTTCATATGGCTTTTAATTCAGAAAATATTTTTATTAGCTGGTGAGTGTCTAACTTATCAGCAATCTCATGTTCAATTGAGATGATTGCCAAATTACTAAGTCTTTTCTGAGTCATTGTTGATCTCAGTTAATTCTTTATAATTTTCAACTTAGAAAATTACCTTTCTCCTGTTGCCACTGATGCTGGTAATGTTAAAAGAATTCTTAAAACGACAAAAATGTGTTGAAATACTAAATGCATATTATTTTCCAATAAGAAATTTAATATTTCTAATGGTTAGTACCATGTTTTGCAAAATATCCTCTGAAAAGAAGGGATTTTATACCTACACTAGGATATGCATCGTGCACATATGTTTTTAACAAATAACATAGCTCAATGTACAGTAAACTAGTAAGTCTCAACACTTGTCAATAATATATAAATTGATAATATGTGTCAAAACCTCAACAGAAATAAGGACTGGCACAGATAATGCTATTTACTCAGATACTTTCAAACACCTATTTCTTACACTAAGTAACTAGTTAAAATCTTAAATCAATTTATAAATCGACTTTCTTTATATTATTTTTGTTTCTTCTGACTATGTACAGTTGGTGCACAGGTACCAGCTACCCTACCAGTAGGCCAACCTTCAGCTTTGTGCATCCCACCCCATGCACATACAAATTATTTTCGACTTTGGAAAATAATTTATTGTACATTAGTATGAATGAAACTTTTGTATTTATAATAATTACAAATTAATTTTCTATGAAAATGGAGAATAGGCTATAATAATGTAAGCCACAAATCTCTAGCTGGTGTGCATGCTGGTTTATTAGGCTACCCAGGAATAGTACCATGATAGTGTTTTCAACGAGGCAGAACAGAGAAGTAAGTTTTAGCAAGATTTGATTGAAAAATTAAGTAAATCTTTTAGGTCTGTCAGTCATGCCACTTAGCCTGACTTAGGCTATATATATATATAACTGTTCTCTAATGTTTATTTGTACATGAAAAAAACAATTCACACATGTATATCGTCGATAACATCATGAGGAAATGTACAACTCTATGAATAGTAATAAACACTTACTTTCTTAAACGAGGAGCACAGCACACAATGTTTACATCCACCTAACATACATAAAGTTTCATTGTTCATTGGGTTTTATTCTTGGTACTCGGGAGAAGCTGCCAATAGGATATCAGGATACATAGCTGAGAAAGGAATCTTCAGTAAATCATGATCTACCTTCTTAGGCATGCAATTTGAACAGATATTTCTTGAGTAATATTGCCATATGTGATAAGATTTTAAAAAAAAATTTCACCCAAGCTAATTAATCTGACAACAAAATAAAACTAGTTCGCTACGTTGTCATTGTCATAATATCAGAAGCTTTAGCAAAAGAAGAAACTAACATTAATATTCCTGGCTTTAAATCATTTACACGACCTAAAACCAGACACATTGCTATCTTCTTTAAACAAAGCATAACTCACTATATTGAGATTGAATCAGACATTTATTCAACCATTAATGAAAACATTTATTGTAACATCCAGATTAACAACAGCCAAACCATTTCTATCCTAGCCATGTATTGTTCTCCTGGCAAACCGATCAACATTAACTTTACAAAACTACTTAGACAGCTCACACCCATTTTAGTTGGAGACTTTAATGCCCCACACGATGACTTTCACAGTTACCGGACCATTGGCAGTAGCTCCAGCCTTCACACACTACTCAAAAACAAGAACGTGTATGTCATTAACGATAACACTCTGACACATAATCATGCAGCCACAGATAATTATGACATACTCTACCTTGCTATAATCCCTACCCCCTCCTTCCTTTTTCCCGGAACTTCACGGTTCATCCCAATATAGCTAGCGACCACTTTCCTTTCTCCTTTACTATACAAATCAGCAAACAGGATACACACATTAACCCCAACCCATATTCAACTACACTAAAGTGGACTAGAAAACTTTCAATGCAGTTCTTGAAACACTTTTACCTAACCTAATTAACACCATTTCCAACAAGAAAAAGACATGGCCTGGGGTCAGAGGGAGCTACTGAACTGTTTAACAGCTGCCCCCTCTTCTCAGTTGAACACACTGAAGATCCAGTCCTTCTTTTAATCTACCATACATTTAGCCATATGTTATTATCTACAAGTATATGTGAGTGAGGTCAATATGACTTAATAGAAAACATAAGGTGCTGCCATAAGTTAAGCAACCATTGTACCTGTTTTCAGTCATGTTTCCTAACTGGTTTACTTAAAGTAACCTTCAATCCTCTAATTCTGAGAGGACGAATTTGTAAATGGTTTCCTCAGTGTAAAATACCTAGCTGTACAGTAAAATGTATAGGTAAATATACATGTATATATATATGGGCATGACATGCAGAAAGTTGATGAAGCACATGTGTTGAGCTTTGGATTGATTAAAGTTCTTGATAACTCATTTATTAAGTAGTTGGGATGCTATTTTATTTCTTTAATATCGGAACATATTCTAAAGCAAATCATGAGAGAAATTTGAGTTATATGTAGATATACACTCATATGTATATTATAAATGGTAGTTCCAAAATACACTTACCTCTGTTGACACTTCTAGCTATTACTCGTCCGCCGGGTTTTCAATCTTTGCCCATCTAAGAATTGGTATAATTTTTCTCACTTGCTCCAGTCTTATATACCCCATTCAACCATTCAATATACTCTCCACCTACATCAATGCACCCTCCATCCTGGTACTGTATATAAGCACCTCATACAGATAATTTTATCAGATTTTCGAGACTGATACCATCCCAGTCTCTAACACTTGTTTTAAGTGGGGAGAAAGGGCAAGAGAGTGTCAGCAGAGGTAAGAATTATTGGAAAAAACATTTTCAATTTAGGAAAATGTTAACTTCCAAAACACTTATAGCTAGAATACCACATTGATAAGGTGGAGAGGCCAGTGAGGGCATTATCCATACAGAAAGTGTCTGCATAGATCAGTGGTTTACCAAGATAAGAGTGATATGTGAGTGGGGGATCCGTACTACATCCAGAACAGGTATGCTCTTCACCCTGAACTTAGTTCCTATATGAAGGGTGGAATAGTACACAAGTAATCATCATTATAGGCCAGTCCCAACCAGATAGCTGAGATTACACATTTCGGAGTTGGAATTAAGGGGTCTTGGTTCCTATATCCCACATTGGTGACTAGGGCAATCAGACAGCAATGTTATTTATATATATATATATATATTATTGAAATTGAATCCCAACCTGTAGTCATAGATTGATGTGTTTCGAACCACCAAAATCACAACGAGAAAGTAAGGAACATCGAAGTGGACAAACTTTCTTCTCCACCTGAAAAAGGCCGAAAGGCAACACCTCAGGCTTGGAATGAGGAGATCACATAAGCCTTACTCAACCA